GTCTCGGTTAAGAATAGACGTGACATGTGGCCAAGTATGGTGTACGGTGTACATTTGAGCCTTTTAGGACATCCTCAGACCTCAGTCATTAAATGAAAAGGCCTCATGCCTAAGACTAAAAGGCTTCATTCATTGGACAAAACGGCATCGCGCCTCCGACTGAAAAGCTTCAGGTCTCAGGAGAAACGACGTCAGGTGTCAGGTCTCATACAATTAGGCATCAGACAAAAAGGGTATCAGACAAAAAGGGTATCAGACAAAAAGGGTATCAGACAAAAAGGTTTTAAAACAATACAATTAGTCAGTTAACCAGCTACCTCGCCCTACCCAGGTGAAAAATAAATATATATAAATTGTGTTTGATTTTAATCTATTTTGTAATATATTGAAATTGCTCAACTGGAACCACTTTAAGTATATTTAGTGCAATTTAAGTGTATTTCTTAAAATATATTTAAAATGTCCTTTTTAATACTTCATGAACTACAGTTAGAGTATATTTGAAGCATCGTTTTAATGTACTTCAAGTACATTTCAATTGTATTTCAGCTCATTGGAAATGCATTAGCATTACATTATTAATATATTATAAAGCTGCTTTTGTCAGTATGGTATCAGACAAAAAGGCATATTATATAAACATTTTTAAAACAATACAATTAGTCAGTTAACCAGCTACCTCGCCCTACCCAGGTGAAAAATAAATATATATAAATTGTGTTTGATTTTAATCTATTTTGTAATATATTGAAATTGCTCAACTGGAACCACTTTAAGTATATTTAGTGCAATTTAAGTGTATTTCTTAAAATATATTTAAAATGTCCTTTTTAATACTTCATGAACTACAGTTAGAGTATATTTGAAGCATCGTTTTAATGTACTTCAAGTACATTTCAATTGTATTTCAGCTCATTGGAAATGCATTAGCATTACATTATTAATATATTATAAAGCTGCTTTTGTCAGTATATACACACACACTTTGATATCTAGAAAACTTTAATGTATTATATATTGTTGTGTACATTACAAATATTCATAAAGTACACTAATACAGGACCGCAGCATATATATACACTTTGGTGAAAAACAAAACATACTATTAAATGTATTAAAAATGCACTTGAAATACAAGTATGTTTATAGTACATTTGTATTACTATATTTTAATACATTATAAAAAAAGACTGAAATGCTATGGCAGAGCTATCTTTTCCATTTGTAGAACATTTCAGTTATACCGGTCTTACTAAAAAGTACAGAATTTTACATCAGTGAATAAAAAACAAAATTACAATGCAATTTTCTGAAGAAAAAAAAACACATAAAAAAAGACTGAAAACAAAGTGCATAAGTGAATAGCTGTGTGTGTGCAAAGACAGAAGATGATAAAGTTCAAGCAACAGAATAGGTTGGGATGGAGGGGGTTTTGGAGGTGGACAAGGAGATGGCGTAGGGATGGTGAGAGGCAGAAGTGCGGGGATGATGGCAGGATGTGGTGAAGGGATGGTGATGGGAGGATGACGATGATGCCCGGGCCGCTTAGGTGGTGTTTGGCACATGGCCCAGACCCAGAGCATCCCAGTGCTGACAACACACGGCAGAATCGAGAGAGGAGCCAAGATGTAGATGGTGTGACTGCCAACATCTGGGGGCCAACCGATGGAGACAGAGCTGGTGGAGCCGAAGGCGCTGATGGACCTGAGCGTCGTCGCAGGTTCCGGAGACCTGGGTACAGCCTAGTCATCCTGACTCCTGGCATACAATATTTTGCACCAGAGCCTTGCAGCTTTAGAAAAAAAACAAAACAGAAACAAAATTAAATAACAGATTTTTACATGAATGACTGAAAGCAAGCACAAATTAGCCAGCTGGAATGGACACATTG